CGCCATTACTTTATGATTATTGCCCAAGTTTAGAGCGGGATCGAAAACGGTGGGCGGGGTGGGCACTAGCTGCAAGGATTTCTTTATATATATTCAAGAAGTGGTACAGTACTCACCTGTTGTTGGCTGTTTGGTGAGGGTCAGTCCTCCATTGTTATCGGTCAGCAGCAGCAGTGGCAGCAGCAGCAGCAAAATCTCAAACAGTTCAATGGCAAAGAGGCTTCGATTGTAAAACAAAAACATTGCAATCGCAGGACGTGTGTTCCGCTGGCCAGTGTATGCCCTTTGCCCGATGGCTTCTGCTCCTCCTCCTCCTCCTCCTCCTCCTACTTCAGCTACTCCTCAAACTCCTCCTCCTCCTTCTGGCTGGCTTTTCCTGTGCGTTCGATGCCAAACCAAGTCTGTGGCTATGTCCTATATCGGGGATACGATTACAACAACTGTTGCTGCTTCCAGTTAGTCTTCCGCTTGGGCCTTTTGTTTTGGGGATGTTACGCCGAGTATTTTGTCATTGTTGCTGTGGCTCTCCTTCGAAGATGGAGCGGCGGATTGGAAAAATCAAATCACTGAATTTTATTTACTAATCTAACGGCGACACACACACAAGGGCAAACGGGGGTGGCACACAAAAGTATGCTAATATATTTTGTGGCACGGGGACGGGGGGGCAACGCTCGCCACACGCATAAATATTTTACGCGTGCAACAGTGCGTATACGCAATTAGTTTAATAGTCCGCACAAACATTACCGCACAACATGATGGGCTGCCAGGACCCTGAATCTCCCGAACCTGGCGCCAATTTCTTTAGCTGTCAACATTCAAATGGATGAGACATTTAAAATTTATGATAAAAGCCAACAGCCGAAACAATAAAGCTTCGCTGTGGGGGGGTCGGAGATTTTGAATGCAAGAATGCTCTTCCATACACCAAGGATATGTTTATTTCTTCCTTATATACTACATGTCTAAATAAATCTTTACCTAATTACATTTCCTTTTAGCTTTTAATTGCGAAAATTTTAGAAACTTTTCCAGAAGTTTAGCCTCTGCTTCTCATCATTAAATGTGCGTTTAAGATTCTGCCATATCGATTCATTCATATACTTCCACTGACTGCTGGCAGCACTTTCTTTAAATAAAAGTAAACGATTTCCTAGAAATAAGTGCCTCAAAGAGGTTTTAATGATTTTCCCTATGCCATATTTCATTTTTTTAGTGGAAAAAAAAGGTTTCTTGTAAAATAGAAGTGAAAGGACCCTTGACCAGACCTAGAGTATATATTTCACTTTTAATCCGTGCTCGTAATTCCAGAGCTTGGTAGAAATTTCGAGACACTTTGCGCCATAGGCCACAGGCCAAGAGTAATCCTCAATCTGCGTTCATATCCCTTTTAAGTATCATCTATGTATCATCATTAAATTTGTACTGGCTTTTGTGTTCCGGTTTAAGCTGTGATAAATTCTGTGACTCTTCCACGGGGAAGATGATGATTCTTCGACCCACATCTCTGCCGACTTCTGGCGGCGGCGGCCACTACGGTTCCATTGCCATTACGCACGAATCGTGCCGTAATCATAATGCTGATGCTATGATGCTCTGATGATGATGGTGCCATAAAAGGCAGCGGGCACATTTCAATTCCACAGGCAGAGAGACAGAGCGACAGCGACAACAAGTACCACAAAGGCGCGTGTATCTGAAAGATACATTTTCTAGCTTTCTAGAGTGCTCGGATTCGCGCGGCAAACCAAAGTGAGCGAGAGAACACAAAACAAAACAAAAAAATCATCGCATAAATGAATGCTAAAATATATTTCGGCTGTGGCTGTGGCCGTGGCTGTGGCTGCCTCTGCCACTGCCACAGCCTCGCTCTCTGCTGTTGCCGCTGCGGCGCCATTACTGTTATTGCTGCTGTTGCTTTTTTCCACTATCAAAGGCTTTTGCAAAGCCACACGCTGACGCCAGCTGCGACGCCAACGGCAAACCGCGCGACAGCTACTGAGGCTGCAGCCACAGACAAAGTTTTATATGTATGACAATTGCTTTTTTGTTGCGACCAACAAAAAAATTGTAAAAAAATTCAATAAATCAAAAGAAAATGCAAAAATCTGCCAAAACAAAAAACGAACAAGAAACAAAACAAGAAGCAAAGCATTTGCTAGTCGAAGATTTAAATACTCTGCCGGAAAAGTGGGTGCAAAAATAAAAAAGAATGCAAAAATGCTGGCATATGAATCGCATCTAGAAATATTTGAATAAAATGTTGGCTAAATCGGACGGAACTTTGGCTATTCCTACAGCTACAGAATACCCTTTTAGCTAAGCAAACTTTTAGCCACATCTAAAATACCTCGTTTCAAGGATATAATTCTGTAGAAAAAGTGAATTTCTATGGGTTTTTCACTTTTGCTGTCGGCAACGACAAATTTTTGCCCATGCATTGCGGCGTTTATTTGTTGTGTGGAGGACCCCTTTTGTTTACAACTTTTAATATACAATATTTTGTAGTTTAACAAAAAAGTTTCATCGCCCGAAAGGACAACCCGAAACCGTGTGCCCGTGCCAGTACCGTACGAAAAAGGAATTTAAGCCCCAAACGAAAAACCTCAATTTGAGAGATAAGCAAGAAGCGTAGCGGAAATCGTATTGGGGGTTCTGATTCTGGTTCTCTGTGTGTTATATAAAACAAATTGAACAATGTATATGTATGCGAAATATCGGGCAAAAACACACACACACACATGCACGTATGCAAAGGCAGAGCCAGAGAGAGAAACAGGCGCTCAGAATGGATAAAAGTTTGTTTTGTGTTGGGCAGAGGGAGATGGAGAAGGCAGAGAAGGAGAGCAAACAAAAATTCAGCAACGACGCAAAAATTTCGATTTCCTCGAAATTTGTACCTCGTTTTGTTGTTCTTCTATTATGCTTATTTCTTGTATTCATCATCTGCTCTGGCTCCTGCTGTTTGTTGTTGCTGCTGTGCTTCTTTCTTCAACCATCATCGAGTATCAGAGTACACGGCCGTGTTCTCAGTTTCACTTCCGCAAGAATGTGTTTCAGTCGTGGAATGGCTATAAGGCGGTTTTAAGTGCAAGCAGAAGTGATTTATGGGCTGGACTCGGAGATCGCTAAACTGTCGCCAAACCAAATCAATATTTTTCCTTTTTCAACTTCACTTTCGGTCAACAGTTTTGTGAAAACGAAACTGGGAACAAGGCCTGATAATTCATTTTGTTTGCAAATAAAGTAAAGCAAAGAAAAACAAAGAGAAAAGAAGCAACAGCAGAGAAACATCAGCAGCAGTGGCAGCGCAGGCAGCAGCGCAGCTTACTAAGCTTTTTCTGAGCATCATCATCGGCATCGCCATCCCACTCCAATCTGATGCCTGTTTTTGCTCCTTGTTTTTGCTACGCTTTCGCTTTGTTGCGTCCGAGAGCTTTGACTGCTGCCTGCGCTGCCGCTGCTGCCTACCGTTCGTAGTAGAAGAGGAAGAACTACTGTACTTTGGCGGTCATGTTTTTATTGCGTTTCCATATCCTTCTCTTCGGTGGAGTGTTGGAGGGAGTTTGCTTTGTTTGGAATATGCGAGTTTTAAAATATTCATTTGTCAGTTTTTTGCACACCCCCGCAGCACGCACTCTCACTCTTTCTCTCGCTTACTCACTATCTCGCTGTCGCTTATATTATGTCATAATTTGCTTTTGAGACAGGACTAAACAATGCTGGAATTTTTGGCAATTGAACTTCTCTCTCTATCTTCATCTCTTTCTCGCTTCAACCGGCAGACAATGAATGAATCACATTTCGTTTTCATTTGATTTGCCATAAACACACACACATACACACACACATAGTTCCATCTCTCTCTGTTTCTGTCTCTGTGCACGCATTGCACCGGCTCCTGTTGCCCGCGCCCGTCTCCCCCGTCTTTGTGTTTGCGTTTGCCTTTGCTTTGCCCTGTCTGTCGTTGTTGTTGTTGATTCGCTACCTTTGTTTTGTGTTGTTTCTTCTTTGCATTTCCGTTTTACGTTTGTATTTCGTATTGCCTTTGCACCATCGCACGCACACGGACACGCACACGAACAGCGCTGCCCAAATCAACGGAATTACGCGCACAATTCGCCCAAAGCTTTGTTGTTTGGCATTTTTTGTTTGTTGCTTTTGTCGCCCCGCTTGGCCCAAGACACACAACACAACGCTCGCAAAAATCACCAAGATTCAAAGATTCGCCCAGCAGATTCTAGCAGATACTACGACGGCTACGCGGAGGCGGCGCTGGCGCTGGGATTACAACGAAATTGCGAACGCGGGCCCGCAGCTTTCCCAGCAACCGGAGCAAACAAGTCCAAACATGTACGCCATTCCAAAGAGGAATATGTTGGCTTGGCGCTGAAAGCTAAAAATGTAAAAAACTTTTAATTCAAACTCGTGTGGTGTAACCAGTAGCAAGGTGTGCTCGTACAACGAGGTGGGATTTAGCAACCTTAAATGTTACTTCGAATTGTGCGAAACGTCACCCGGTTGTGCTAATACACCATCGTTCTAACATTTCTCGAAAGCCGAGAGAGCACGATTTTCGTGTGCTTACAGCAGCAAGTTATGTTAAATCGCTCTCTTTGAAAGCTTTTGCGTAAGCTTGCGTTTATTTGCCGGCATTTTTGTTTGCGCCGGCTGCGTACGAAATTTCAATGGCAACGTCGGCGTCGACGTCGAGAGCATGAATGAAACGAAAGAAAAACAGTAAAAAAAAGCAAAAGCAGTGGTGCCAGACAGTGCAAAGATATGAAAGGGAAACTTGGAAGACAAAACAGAAAGAATTGTTTAAATTTGAATTGCAAGAAAAAACCGCTTGAAATGTACAGTAACGTTTTGCATTTATTAAACTGTGTTCAGTACAGAGAGTGTGACACGTTTTATACAATTGCCGTTAGGTGTAAAATGTCTCCAATTGGTGGAACGAAAATTTTGATTTTCGATTTTATATGATAAAACTCTACTCTAATCGGAGTCCGAGCGGGTGGATGCCTTCTTTGACTTTTTATGCTTGCGCTTCTTGTCGCGATGCCGTTCCTCGTGACTACCCTCGCGCTTGCCACGGCTGGTAGAGGGCTGTTCGCCAGGCGTTGCGGCCGCGGCACTAGGACCAGCTCCTCCGTCGCCCGTTCCACTGCCGTTGTGATCCTCGTCGTGCAGCTTCTTGAGCGTCTCCGCCTTGAGGCGCTCCAGTTCGCTCAGCTCTCTGGTGGTGCGCTCCTTCTCGAGATCGTCCTGTCGCTGCTTCTCGGCGCGGCGCTCCTCCTCTTTGGCTATCTCCTTGCGCATGTGCTCCTTCAGCAGCAGCGCTGCCTCGGCTCGCTTCTGCATCTTTTCGCGCGCCGCCTTCTCACGATCCTCCTCCATGGGCAGGGCCGAGGTCAGCTTGGGCAGGGGGCTGCTGCGTGAACGGCGACGGGATCTGCTGTTGCTGCGCGAGGAGCTGTGTCGGCGGCCGCCACGACTGCGGCTGCGTCGATGCTCGGGCGAGGAGTCCAAGCGCCTACGTCCTGTCGAGTCTTGGCGCCGTTTTGGTGGCGAGTCCTGCTTCTGTTTTCTGTTTCCTGCCGGCGACTCCTGCCGCTTGCGCACGGGCGAATCCTGACGCTTCCTGGCCACCGGGGACGATTCCGGACGACGTCTGTCTGGAGATTCCTGGCGTCTGTGATTGCCTGCCGGCGACTCGTGGCGACGGCGATCGGGCGTTTGCTGTCGCCGCCCACGGCTGCGCGAACGCTGCTGCTGCTGCTGTCGGCGACGATCGCCGCTGGGCGATGCCCCCCGTCCGCGTATGGGCGACAGGGGGAAACGATTCTTGTACTCGTCCTGGGAGCGCGAGCGACGGCGACGTCCGCCGCCATCGGAGAAGGGATTGCGTCGGCCGCGATTCATCTGGTTCTGATGCTGGTTCTGAAATTGATTCTGATGTTGGCCCTGAAACTGGCCCTGAAACTGGCCCTGATTATTGCCCCCCTGGCCACGTCGTCCCGGCGGCGACCACTGCGCCCTACGTGGCGGAGAGCGACGGGAACGCTGGGCAGAACGGGAGCGACTCCGCGGATTGCGGTTGCGCAGCGGCTGTGAGGCAGAGCGCTCACGGCTACGCCTTGCTGGCTGTCTATCGCGATCTCTGGGCTTCTCCTCTTGGGTTTTGCGATCCTCGCGCTTGGGGCGACTCTCTGCACGCTCCTTTTTCAGTGGCGCCTCTGCCTTGGCCTCGGCCTTGCTTGACTTCTTCGACTCCTTGCTGGGCAGCACCTCAGGGGCCTCGGGCTCTGGCTCGCTATCCGTCTGCTGCTCGTAGTCGAGGGCATTCATGTCCACAGACTTGCGACGCTTGGGTGGTGCAGCAGCCGCATCCTCTTTTGGCTCCTTGGCCTTGCGTTCGGGCAGGTCCTTGCTGGTTGTGGGCTTGTTGCCCTTGTGATCGGGCGATCTGTCTGGCGTCAGTTTACCGCCGTAGGTGCTGGCATGCGACAGCTCAAAGAACGATTTTTTAGGATTCTTGATGGCCTCCTCGTGACGTTTCTTGCGTTCCTGTTCGCGGCGCCGTGTCTCCTCCTCACGCATTTTGCTCTCCTCCTCGATGCGCTCTAGATCCGAGAGCTTAATGGTCCGCTTCTGGGCATGCTTCCAGTGCGGCGGCGTATTGCTTCTCGAGCGACTGCGAGACGGTGTGCGGAAACGCTGGAAACGGAATTGGAATTTGATTTTCTGGCTCATAGTGGATGCAATTTTTTACTTACGAACACGCCACGCCCCTTGACAATGCGCCCGCTACGTGATGTGGGTGGCGGTGGTTGCTTCTTCGACCAGCCAAATGCATTCCGATTACGATCCCGCTCCCGTTCACGGTCCTTGCCCCGTCCTTCCCGATTCCGTTCACGGTCCACATCGCGGCCATAGCCAAGATCTTCGCGCACCTCACGCTCCTCCCGATCCCTGGACCGCGACTTTTCGCTGCGCATGAGAAATTTATTCGATACCTGAGCGGGAAAAGCAAACTTCAGTTTTGTGGCTAGGTTAGATTATGGAAGGGGCTGTACCTCGGGTATCTCGTTAGGATCTATCTTGGTGATGGTGACCAAAGGATGCAGTTCGCCTTCCTCTTGCTCTTCCTCATCATTGTCTGGCTGTTGCTGGGCATGGCGACCATTACCACGTCCTTTGTCACTGCTGTTTTGGATGTGCAAATTTAGAGGTAGGAAAAATCTCTTAATAATCCATATCCTTACTCTTCGCTCTCGCTGGCCTTAGCCTCCTTGCGGCGCTTCTTCTTTTTGTCCTTGCGCTGCTGCTGTGTCTTGACATCCGCCGTCTCCTCGCTATCCTCCTCGCTGTTTGTGTCATCTGTGGCCGTTGAGCGCTTGCGGCGCTTCTTCTCCTTTTTGGCTGTGGAACGAGTGAGTAGAAATTTGGCATGAGAACTCCAATGCTTCCTCTAACAATCACTAACCCTTTGTCTGTCTGATCAGTTCACCACAATTGGCTATGGCCGCATCCTGCAGCGGTCGCGAGTTCCTGTCAACGGGCAGCTCTTCCAATTGGCGAACCAACTCCTGCCCGGTTATAACTTGGCCAAATACAACATGGAGACTGCAAAGACAAAGATTCGGATTAGCATTCAAATTGGATTGGTTATTCGCGGGTGCAACGGATTACTCACTTGTCCAAATGTGGCGCAGGCTGTGTTGTACTACAATGAGAAACAGAAGAAGAGAAAAGATATTCTTTACACTTTGCTAACTTTTTTTGGAGTTGTTGTTTGTTGTTGTTGTTCTTTGTTGTTGTTGCTGTTCTTTCGGCTATTCCGCTGTTTTTTTTTGTCGCTTTGCCTTTTGTGCAACAAAGTAAAAGAGACCAAGGTGCAGAACCACGTCAAGCAACGACCACAGAATGCCTGGTCAGTGGCTTTGGAGACTGTAGACACATCAGGCGGGTACATCTTTGGGGGACATCCACACAGGCAGGCAGAAATAGAGGGAACCCAGTGGGCCGCCATCTACGATGCAGCAGCCGCAGCTAGTGGACGGTGTCGGGGGGAGGCACCACAGTAGGAGTAGCCGAGTAGGAGGAGTAGCAGCAACTGCCGGCCACCCACAGATAGACCACAAGACGTATGCATTGCAGGGGGATTGCAGGTGGTTGGTAGATTGGTGTTGGGTCGGTCGGTCAGTCCCGCCGCAGCTCAAACAATTCTGTGCGCGCGCTAATCCCCGCTAAATGGCAATAGATTAATGAACAACAACAGATGTTTAAAATTGATCAAATAAATGTGATTTAGAACGTGCTGAAGACTCGAACATAACTGTAAAGATAATATAGATGGCATGGCGTGGAGGGGGGGTTAGCGCTGGCCCCGCAACGAGGCGAACTTACATAAAGAACTGCGAGCCATTTGTGTTCTTGCCGCGATTTGCCATCGACAGCAGGAATGGGCGGTCGTGCTTCTTTTCAAAGCTTTCATCTGTCAAATGCAAACAACAAATCGGTCTTTAATTATTGATTTTTTCCAATATACACACGCACACACACGCAAGAGCTCGCATATGTACACACACAAAAAGAGAGGGAGAGGGCACGCTGCTTACCCTCGAATATGCCGCCATAAATTGATTCGCCGCCGGTACCGTTGCCTGCACTGAAATCGCCAGCTTGGACCATAAAATCCTTCACCACACGATGGAAAATGGCCCCCTTGTAGTGCAGTTTTTTCTCTGTAATCAAACCAAGACCCTTTTCGCCCGTGCAAAGGGAGCGAAAATTCTCGGCCGTTTTGGGAGCCACATCGCTAAATAGTTCGAAAACAATGCGCCCAACGGGCAGACCGCCGAGCGTTATGTCGAAGAAACAACGCGGACGCGCAGCACTCGCGTCACGCTTATTTACCGTCATTATTTATATTTATTTATTTACTTTTTCTCGAACAGAATTGTATTTTGATAAAATTTTTCACGAATTTTCGCGTTGCACAATGTCGGCTTGCTTTTAGTGTGACCCGTTGATCAAATATGCCGACTGAATCAGAAATATACCATAAACTCATTTTTAACGAGAAAGGACGTGTGAGACGCTTCTTACTCGTCACAACCTTTATACCAGGTAGTCAGTACTACATATGCACCTTAGCGGTGTTTTGTCAAATTTTAAATTTTTTCTTCAACTGTCATCTACATCTACAACACTTCTCACACCAACACGCTCCTTTAGCTCCGCCCTTCCCTAGGCCCACACACTGCAGACTCGCGGCAGAGGCAGCGCCCGCATTCAAAAAAAAGCAAATATAAGCAAAGGCGAGAGAAGAAGGCAAAGAAGGAGAGTGTGAATGAGAGAATGTGAAAAGAACAACAAAAGCTGCAGGACAGGGTGGGTTTAGACACTGCAAATGAATTTCTTCATTCTGGCTATAATAATGATCCAATCGGATCCCAATCCCAATTTTGTGATCTGGTAGATGTGGCCATTCCCTACGGAATGGCGTTTTTTGTTTTCTTTTATCTTGTAGATTGTAGATTTGAGAGGTTTTCTCCATTTTGAGGGGGCGGAAGGGGGCGTGGCTCAGTTTTGAAATACACTTGTAACAGTGTGAGCATACAGAAGTCTGGATGCACAATTTGGTGGCTGCAGCTTTTATGGTCTCTGAGAACCAGGCGCTCAACAAGACGGAGGGACGGACGGACACACAGTCATGGCTCAATCGACTCGGCTATTGATGCTGATCAAGAATATATATACTTTATGTGGTCGGAAAAGTTTCCTTCTGTGTTTAAATACTTTGTGCACAAATAAAATATACCATATTTACTCTTCGAGTACCGGGTATAAAAATACCATAGAACACAGAGAATAATCGTTCCTCAATTTAGATATTCCGTAAGTTATTACAAGCTAGTTGGGACTGTCAATACTGATCTTATAATTGTATCCCATTTATAAAACAGAATTGGCCTATTTATTTGGTTTGCTTATAATAAAAATGGCAAGCAATTCGTTTCTTTACATGGTAACTACATGGTAGCGTCACATTTTCTAATTGATAAACAATGAACCAGTTCAGTTTGTTTTAGTGGTTCCAGAGAATAATGGTCCACTACACTTCAATTGTAGAATGTGAGAACTGCATTTATAATACCAATGGGAATGGTTTGCAGTGCATGTTGGAGGGTTGATAACTTAGTCTTGTGGAATATTCTTTATATTGTACATATTATGTTGTTCTCGATCTACAAATTTCATCTGCCAATTAAGCATTTTCGACAAATCCGCCTACGGTTACATCATAAACCAATGTTTACAAGACAAATTCGATGTGTGCGTGCGTGCGCATGATTGAATGTACGTGTGTGTGTGTGTGTTGTTGCGAGGGGGCAGCGGCGGAAGACGTGTTCTTAGGCGAAATTTATCACGAAAACAGAAAAAATTCCAACAACTTGCGCGATAATAAGCGCGCCCAACAACAGCAACAACGCCAACCGTATGTCCGCAGTGCAACTGACGCACCAGTTTACATAAAAGAAGAAGCTTATCGTCGTGTCGACGTGTACCCCACAGCCAGAACCAAACACAGTCAAAACAGACGCTGCGCAGATCAGAACCCAAGTGGAAGACAAACATAATGTGTGGCATATTCGCGTACCTCAACTACCTGACACCCAAGTCGCGTCAGCAGGTGCTGGACCTTCTGCTGCAGGGCCTGAAGCGGCTGGAGTATCGCGGCTACGACTCCACTGGCGTGGCCATTGACGGGGCCAGCGCGGGCGACGACATCCTGCTGGTGCGGCGCATTGGCAAGGTCAAGGTGCTGGAGGATGCCATTGGCGAGGTGTGTCGCGGCGAGGGCTTCAATCAGCCCGTGGACATTCACATTGGCATCGCACACACGCGCTGGGCCACGCACGGTGTGCCCTCGGAGGTGAATTCGCATCCCCAGCGCTCGGATGTGGAGAACAGCTTTGTGGTGGTGCACAATGGCATCATTACGAACTACAAGGACGTGAAGACGCTGCTGGAGAAGCGCGGCTACGTGTTCGAGTCGGAAACGGACACGGAGGTGATTGCCAAGCTCGTCCATCACCTGTGGCAAACCCATCCCGGCTACACCTTTGGCGAGCTGGTCGAGCAGGCCATACAGCAGCTGGAGGGCGCCTTTGCCATTGCCTTCAAGTCGAAGCACTTTCCCGGCGAGTGTGTGGCCTCGCGTCGCGGCTCGCCCCTGCTGGTGGGCATCAAGGCCAAAACCAAGCTGGCCACCGACCATGTGCCCATTCTGTATGCCAAGGCGCATCGGCCGCACGGCCAGCCCTTCCCCGTGCTGCAGGCAGGCAGCGATGGCAGCGCCGAGTTCCAGCCACTGGAGCACAAGGAGGTGGAATACTTCTTTGCCTCGGACGCCTCGGCGGTGATTGAGCACACGAATCGTGTCATCTATCTGGAGGATGATGACGTGGCGGCCGTCAAGCGGGACGGCACGCTGAGCATTCATCGCCTGAACAAGTGCACGGACGATCCGCACATTCGGGAGATAATCACACTCAAAATGGAGATCCAGCAGATCATGAAGGGCAACTACGACTACTTTATGCTCAAGGAGATCTTCGAGCAGCCCGAGTCGGTGGTCAACACCATGCGCGGACGCGTACGCTTCGACACGCAGAGCATTGTGCTGGGCGGCATCAAGGAGTACATCCCAGAGATCAAGCGGTGTCGCCGCCTGATGCTGATTGCCTGCGGCACCTCCTATCATAGTGCGGTTGCCACGCGTCAGCTGCTGGAGGAGCTCACCGAGCTGCCCGTCATGGTGGAGCTGGCCTCGGACTTCCTCGATCGCAACACGCCCATTTTCCGCGACGATGTTTGCTTCTTCATCTCGCAGTCGGGCGAGACGGCGGACACGTTGATGTCGCTGCGCTACTGCAAGCAGCGAGGCGCCCTGATTGTCGGCGTCACCAACACGGTAGGCAGCAGCATCTGTCGGGAGTCGAACTGCGGCGTGCACATCAATGCGGGGCCGGAGATTGGCGTGGCCTCCACCAAGGCCTACACCTCGCAGTTCATTTCGCTGGTGATGTTCGCGCTGGTCATGTCCGAGGATCGTTTGTCGCTGCAGCAGCGGCGCCAGGAGATCATCGCGGGCCTGTCGCAGCTGGACGAGCACATACGATCGGTGCTGAAGCTGAACTCTCAGGTGCAGGAGCTGGCCAAGGAGCTGTACCAGCACAAGTCACTGCTCATCATGGGCAGAGGCTTCAATTTCGCCACCTGCCTCGAGGGCGCCCTGAAGGTCAAGGAGCTGACGTACATGCACAGCGAGGGCATACTCGCGGGTGAACTGAAGCACGGTCCCCTCGCCCTGGTCGACGATGAGATGCCCGTGCTGATGATCGTTACGCGGGATCCCGTCTACACAAAGTGCATGAATGCCCTGCAACAGGTGACATCGAGGAAGGGCCGCCCGATCCTCATCTGCGAGGAGAACGACACCGAGACGATGTCTTTTTCGACGCGTTCGCTGCAGATCCCCCGCACCGTGGACTGCCTGCAGGGCATTCTCACTGTCATACCGCTGCAGCTGCTCTCCTACCACATTGCCGTGCTGCGTGGATGCGATGTGGATTGTCCCCGGAACCTGGCCAAGTCAGTGACGGTGGAGTAAGAGCACAACAAGAATTCCATTTGCTGATGTCTGGAGAAAAACCCTTATTCGTAACCATTTAGCTTTAAGCTCTAAACATATTTGTATTCTCTCCGCGATCCTTTGATTCAATCGAACTTGCAATCGACCTTGCCCCTCTGTGACCCTTTTTTGCATTTGCATTTTGTAGAGTATATTTTGACCTGTTTGTGTGTGTTGTAAACCCAACTAATCTTCTGTGGATGTGCAATTGAAATATAAGTATTTCCAGAAATATCTAAAAACTTCTATGAATTTGAATTTGTATTTAGATCTGCATTTTTCTAGTCGTTTCCGGTTCCGCCTCTATCGACTTGGAATTCGGTATTTTTCTAGCAAAATATAATAAAATAGAAAAAAGAGTACTGGGTTTATATCTTATAGAGTTTACAATTTTAAACAAAATCTTTATATGGCCACGTCACGTCATTTCCTGCGCAACGCGCCATCCGCTAACGTTACGAGACAACGTAAAGAATCGCATATACTTCGCTACTGGCAGAGTGTGACCAGCTGTACAACAACTGAACTGTTTTGGTTTGTTTACAAATAAAATCTGCTTAAAATTCAAATTTTGGATGAAAGCATGCAACAATCTCTTATTTTTTGTATATAAATTGTTATATGAACGGGAATTTATAAATTTTCCTAGCTCTGCCAATGTTTTACAGGTATATTTTCAAAACAATTTGGTATATTTCGGTACATTTCTGTGGTGTATTTTATTGATATACCAGCGGTCACACCGAACCCTGTTTCCTTTTCGACCGTAAAACCACATGTCTGGGAACCGAGATTTTACTATATTTTTCTTTTCGGCGGTATAATGCGGCAAAGTGCCGCGAAAATATAGCAGATTACTCGATCGACTGCACGGCAACGACGAACAATTGAAATATCATTTCAATTTGCGACCAAATTGTGTGAAAAATCACATTCGGGGCAATATTCGTAACCAAAACGTTCTACCACACTAGCGCGTGAGTGAGTGTGAGCGAGAGGGCGAGTGCAAAGTGTGCGACGAGTGAGAGAGAAAAGAAAACCCGCAAAAGCAGAAAGCATACGAAACAAAAGCAACAACAACAGCAGCAGAAGCAGCAGCTGCGTAAGAAGTGCGTAGTGAAAAGTGAACGCAAATCAAAGCAGTGTAAAGCAAGCAGAGCGCACAATCGTCAATAAGGGAAGGGGAATTTGTGTACCACAAATTCTTTTTGTGTGCGGAGGCTCTCCTCGTGTTGTTGTTTGTTTGTCCCCGAATAGGAGCAACTTCTGCATATTTTGAATTTCCATTCTTGGTGCGTATTGTTACGGTATAAGTGTGTGTTG